AGTAGCCTGCAGTGCTGCATTTAACCACTGCGCCACCTCGGCTCTTGAAGAGGCACTTGAAGAGCCATCTTGAAGAGGCACTTCACTCAGTCTTGATTCAAGGTCTAAGGTTTTTCAGCTTTCAATCTCCGGAGCCTTAGAATCCAGCTGCATTGGCCTGACTAGTTTAAATAGTAATAAACTGATAGCTGCTGAAGTTAAATGAAAAGGAAACTAGAGAGCAAGAGAAAGTTCAGATATTTTCATTCACATCCTGCATGCGCTTTCATTTTCCAGTTCGCCTTCTTTGCTCCCCAATCTTGCCTCCCTTGTTGTTGCCTTCTCCACCCACCCTTCTTCCCACCACAATGCCAAAAAAAGATACACAGTTAGCGCATTAGGCACCATCATCATTGTGCTTGAGTGCAGAAAAAGAGAGCAGGGGGGAAAAAAAACCTTTAGATTCATTTTTAAGCACCATATATTTACCAGACTTTGTAAACTTTCTCCTCATTATGTTTTAGTTTCTTATACATCAACAATGTCCATATCCACTGTCTTTAGAAAGATACGTTTTTATGAGCCGGAGGCTTTCCAGGATTCCAGAGTCTAAAATCTAAAGTTCCTGGAGTCACCCCATTGATCTACCTTTGAATGTATATCCTGCATTAAAGTACACTGGCTATCAGCTCTTGATTGGAGAAGGGGAAGGGTTTTTTCCCCCCATATGCAACCTTGAGGGAAACACAGCTCAACAGATTGCTAGACTGGTGTGAGCAGTTCCTGTTTACAAAATCTGGAATGGCCTTCCCCTTCACCATCCCTCCCTCAATGCATTTCTAAAATACCATTGGGTGCAGGGGTGAGATTCAGCTGTTTAGGACCTGTTTGGGCAAACTGGTTGATCCTATGATCAGCTGGGGAGCGAACCGGTTTGCTCCGAAGATCAGGTGGGCCTGCCAGCCCCTGCGCTTTACTTAACTGCTGATTCGCATGGCAGAGAGGATTGCCATGCTTCAGCTGTGTTACTCCCCAGAAGTAACGTGGAAGGTAAGTTTTGTTAAAACTCTGCACACGTGCAGAGCGCACATCAGGCACAGGCACACGTAGAGCGCATGTGAAGCAGGCAATCACCCAACCGGTTGTTAAACCGGCAAGATCCCACCACTGGTTGGGTGCAGTATTACACAAGTGTTTGCTGCCTTAGGGTCTGCAAGCATGGGATCCCCTTGCCAGAACTTCAATCTTAAAAAAAACCAAATCTGCTCATGGTCAGCTGCAAGACCATAGAAGAATGAAATTATTTCCTAGGGTGTCATGAAGGTGGCGGAAGAATAACACACAGAAGCCAGCTATGGAGGGCATAGCCTCTAGCTTCACTTCATACTGATTAGGGCAACCATTAGATAGCAGAAAGGAGACACAGAAGACTACCTCTTTGTCACTTATTGGTAGTTCTCTATGGTAGAACCTAATTTAACAGCCCTAAATGTTGATGCCACTTGCTGTTACCATTCCACCCCCAGCAGTCTGCCTGAGCCATTAGATAACGGCTTGTCTATGCAGTCCATGAGCAGCAAAACAGGTGGATTCCCCTGAGTATAGCTGCTAGGTTTTTAAACGTTGACTACTATTGGGATGGGGAACCTATTGGAGAGGTTTTCCTGGGACTAGGGAGCTGTGCTTGTGCCTGGGTGATTAATGAAGGCATGTGGCACAAATTATCCTTAGAGTATTTTTGCATCGGACCAATCTTGTCTGCTTTACAGAGTGATTCCGTGTGCATCGTTTTTCAGTGTAAGCAAACATGCAGTACTACGTTGCCATGAGAAAGGTGAGATGTAGTGATGTGCAGTTGTAGTTTAAGCAAGTGTGCTACAATGTGCACTCCCTGGACTGCTCGGGAAGAAATGGTGGACTGAAGATAGTTCCGCAAGAGTTGATAACCGCAACCGAATGAAAAGTCAATCAGTAGACTGGCTCTTCGTCATTTCTCTTCAGACAAGGAGAAGACTTGAGATAACCTACAAGTGCTCCAGTCAGGAATCCTTTATATCTCTACAAACATTGGGATATTCTTGAATTTTCAAAAAGCTGCTTAATGAACAAGGGTGGCATTCTTTTGGCTACAAAACAATCAGCACAAATCAGTTGTGAGCTGCACTCATGGAAAATTAATGGCCCCACCATCGATTGGTTGGGGGATGAAGCAAGGACTGAAAATATTCTCACTTCTGTTGAAATCTGTCTTCTGACTGGCTAAGCATCAGCTGTTTTAAGGCACAATAATTCATTGTAGGTACCTGCTTCTTCTTCAAAAGAAAGGCTATAAATGAAGCTCCCTGGAGGATGTTCGGCTGCTCGGCGATACCAAAGAGGGAAGTGGTCCATGGTGAAAATGCTTTCCTTATCATAACTGGTCAAAAAGTTCCTGGAGTTGAAAAAAAGAAAAGAAAGAAAAGCCACACGGTCGTATCACATGATCTTCAAAGTACATTTTAAAAACATTTTTCTTTTGATCCAATGAAGTGTCTTGGTGTGCAAAACACACTCCGCATTACATACCCATCTCTTTCGCTTCTCTATTTCACCTATGACTATAACCTTGTTGCTTGTATCTCTAAGAGTATCTCGACTTGTATGGCTGTGCGACTCTTGTGTATTTTAATTACGTGTATTGTGTTTGTGTCCCCTTTTCCCCTTCTGAGTTGTTTGCCGCCCTGAGTCCCTCCCGGAGAAGGGCGGCATACAAATAAACTAAATCAATCAATCAATCAATCAATATTTATATTGTTTTATTTGTTTCCTGGTACAATTTGATTGCTTATTTAGTAACCTATGACTATCACTAAGTGTTCTATCTTATGATTCTTGATGAATGTATTTTTTTTCTTTTTACGTACACAGAGAGCATCTGCACCAAAGACAAATTCCTTGTGTATCCAATCACACTTGGCCAATAAAGTATTCTATTCTATTCTATTCTATTCTATTCTATTCTATTCTATTCTATTCTATTCCAAAACTCTGATATTTCATTTTTGTACTTCTGACATCTTGGCATCTTCTATTGCTTGCTTTGTACTGCACAGCATAGACAACGTCAGGCCTGGAAGCCATCTTGGGCATTGAATCTTCAGGCCTGCTACATTTAGTCTGTGGGAAGCTGGGAGGGATGATTGTATGGAGCTGGGAAGGTATATAGTTATAATAGCATTCCTTTGTCCGAGAGTCAAGGACATTCTGCCCTGCACCTGGAGGGTGTGATTGGGAGGCATCTTCAATTGGGACGGTGCTGTGATTGGACCGTGTGGTGGACATGTGGGTCAGTAATGATATTCTATTTTCTTCACTACTGATTCGGTATTTACCATGATCCAGAACTTGAGCTGGGTAATGAGAAATCAGAAGAAGAAGGCCACAGCAACCACAAGTAGTCAGTGCTGTACATCTCCATCTGTTCTTCCTCTGTGTCACACACACTTGCTTTGATTAGTTCTAGGAGGCCAAGAACATGAATGGAGATCCACCAAACTATAACTAAGTATTTTGCAGGCAATATCAGATCACACTCCACCAAGTTGACAATGCTTCCAAGATGACGAGGGGTGTCAATGACATGCCAAGAATGAAGCCTACTTTGGAAAGCGTTTGCAGCTGCCTGGTTTATATTGGCAAAGCTTCTGCAGCTGCCTGGTTTATATTGTGATGGGGTAAAATATGTGGCTGGAGGAAAGCAGATGGGTGTATGGCAAGGTCATAGACTTTTTTGAGGGAAGGTAGGACAAGACTCGGGACAAGAAGTGGGCAGAAAAGGGAGAAATGCTTCAATACTTGACTTTCATTTATCTCTATGCATCAGAGGTAGTATTCACAGGTTCTGACCAGTTCTGGAGAACCGGTGTTGGAAATTTTGAGTAGTTCGGAGAACCAGTAAATACCACCACTGACTGGCCCCGACCCCATCTGTTATCTGCCTCCTGAGTCCCAGCTGATCGAGAGGAAATGGGGATTTTGCAGCATCCTTCCCCTGGAATGGGGTGGGAATGGAGATTTTACAGTATCCTTTCCCTGCCATGCCCACCAAGCCAGAGGTGGGTTGCTAATTTTTTTACTACTGGTTCGGGAGTGCTCCCGCTGCGCCGCTTTTGCATATGTGCAGAAGCATTTGGGGGGTGGAGCCTCCTGCCACCGCCACTACTGGTTCGGCTGAACCGGGCAGAACTGGCAGCAACCCACCTGTGCACCAAGCCATACCCACCAAGCCACACCACACCCACCAAGCCACAGCCACAGAACCGGTAGTAAAACTTTTTGAATCCCACCACTGCTATGCATGTTCAGAAATATAGATTTTGTATATAGCTGTTTCTATTAAGTTGGCACTCCTTGCTCTCCCTTTTTAAATCCTTCCAGTTGTTCAGAAAACATGATCCATGAATGCTCTAGCATCTAGTATGACTAGAATCCATGCAGACAAGTAAAAAGCTTATTTTACTCAGGAAGGTGATTTCCTTTCTACTTGGGGATGTCTTCTTAGAACTCTCTCCTCCGCCCCCACCTTCCAAGTGTTTCTATGTTCAGCACAGCTACTGCAACTTGACTAATATAAGGAGTGGCTGCAAATGATGATGGCTGCAGAAATGAAATAAAAAGAATTTACTGACTAATATCTAGTGGCCTGTTGCTTAAACCCTGTGCAGATATGCATCCCTTAGACTTGCTGATAAATTGTATTTGAAGAAAGTGTGTTTTACTTTTTAGTAAACATGCAAACTACATTAGCTTCTCTCAGCTCCCTACTCCTATTTTGACCATGCTACTTTGGCTCCCAAGCGTACTGAAATACATCTCATTCATAGGGTGAAATACAACGCATTCACGAGGTGAAGTACATCTCATTCACAGTGCACGTCTTTTTTCTTTTTGCCAACAGTATGTTGTACACAAATATGTGTGTCATTTTATTATCCATTACAGAACTCCTGGAAAGATGAACAGGTGTTGTATTTTACAGCTTATAGTTCATCTTATAAACATTTTAGCATATTAAATAAACTGTGTCTCCCGGGACAGATTTAAGATTTAGATAGATCTATTAGGTTCTCAAGGCAATCTTTGACTATATAAACCCCATGTTCCCGATTTTAAAGTATACAAAGTAATCAGGATAACCAATCAGAACAAAAGGTTCAAAGCATTTTGAAACACAAGATTGATACGGACTATATAGGGCATACGTTAAGCCTGAGTTATTAAAGTTGTGAACATTAAATACTCTCATATTGATGTACAGCTAAATACACAGGATTGATCTGTAGATTTGCCTGTTACAAATCTGAAAGTCCCTCCGAGAGTAATGCAAATTTATCTTTGCAAATCCCACCATTCTCTTTGTTTTTCCAGTGTGCAATAGGCAAGTCAATTGTGAGAAGGCATCACACATGCATGGTATAATGATCCTTTCTGAAAAAAAATATTCTGAGTGACAATAGATTGAGTTAAAGTAATTATAATATCCTGATTTAAAGCAAGATAGAAAAATTTACCCAGTAGCTTCTGTTGTAGTGATGCGCCATTTAGGTATAGATTATGTATATAGATTGTTTGATGTGCACTAAATAGATACATTAAATAGGCCCTGTAAGAATCTAGAGAATTGTGCTAGAAAGAAGGTATTTCTTTCTTTATAGAATTCATATATTCTTTCATTCCAATGAGGTTCTGCTATTGGTGCACTCTCTGAATTGATGGTGTACAACAATAAAATAAGAAGTTTAAGATAAAATAAACCAATGATGACATCAGCTGTCTATCCATCTGGCATCAGTGATTTCTACCACAATTCCATTTCCAAAGGTGTTCCAAAAAACATCACATTTTTTACAAGTCTTCACAGGAACCTGAATGCTGGAGCCCGTCTACTTTAGATAGCAAGCTCTTCGGAGGAGGAAAGTCTCCCAGGGAGCAGGTATTCTGTCTTTATTCTGATTGGGTAAGCAGATGGTCTCACGGGTATTGAGACCCCAAACAAACCATGCATGGTTTTGTAGGTATTTAATGCCATGAATTAAGGGTAAAGGTAAAAGTTTCCCCTCTGCAGTTGTGCCTGACTCTAGGGGGAGGTGTTCATCTCCGTTTCTCATCCAAGGGAGCGAGTGTTGCCCAAACACACTTCTGTGGTCTATGACCAGCATGACTGTACACCAAGGCACATTAAAAAGCATGAATTATGGCAGGCAAAATTAAGAAACTTGCAAGGATATTCCTGTGAAAGAACATTTTCTTCCTGGAGCAGGTGAAGAAAGCGTCTTCACAACTAGCTCAGTAGAACAACAATCAACATCAGTGGTGACCCTAGATTAACTAACAATAACTGGAATTCTAGGTGAGCTAGGTAACTGATACCCACAATATTTTTTTTTTTAATTTTGATTATTTCCCTCAAAGTTTGACATCTTAGGTGTCCAGTCAGTTCATTTCTGTGGATAGACTACCCTGGAAGATTGTGAAATGACATCAAATAATAGCAACTTCTTTCCTTTTTTTAAAAAGTCCTTAGAAAGAACTATTTTAATTGTTTTTTCTCTCTCTCTGTGCATATTTTTCAAACTGGGTGGCTTCTGGAATGGGAGGCATATCAAATTGAATAAAGCAAAGAATAGGAAAGAGAAGAGAAAGGATGTCCAATTGGTAAGAAGAACAATGTTTTAATAGTTCCCTGGAAGTCTCTTTTGCACGGCTCTGAGTAAAAGAAATGGCAACAAACATTAACTAAGCTCCCCCCACCCCATTATTATCCCAACCCACCTCAAAGAGAATCCCTTAAAGTGGTACACAAAGACCCCACAAAACCCCATAAATTGCAATGATGGCAACTGGAGTTGGCAAATTATGGACCTTCTACTTCGTCTTTTGCTAGGGGCATACTTCAGAACTTGCCAGCTCACAAGCATTGAAAGGTATGTAACAATGGAAGACATTGAGGAAAAGATAACAGAAAACTCTCCATTTTTGCAACAATATATTTGAACAGTAGGGAAAAAAGAAGACCCAACTATCCCACATGTCACTTCTAAACTTTTTGGGCACTTTTTGCTATTTTTAGAATGTCAATGCAAACAATTCAGCAAACTCTAGGAAAAAGCCCATTCATGAAGGATTATCTCACAATGTCTATAACAGGGGTGTCAAACGCATGGCCCTCAGCCCAGATAAATCACAGGCTGGCCTCGCCTAGTTTAGCAAAGGGGGGGAAACGTCCTGATACGTCACGTGATGCTGCTGTGAGGACGCAAATTTGACTAAATTTGGTCTAAAACGTCTAATGTTTGCTTTCATGAATGAACGTAACTATAAATAGACATTTCCCAGTGGCCTTTCACATTCTCAAATGTTGATTTTCAGTGGGGTTATTTCATATGATCAGCT